TTTCCATTGATGTTGAAAGTGTCCCAGTGAAGCCACGGCAACAGTAACTCTGGCAGAGTGACAGAGCTGAGGGCGGTCCTGGGTCCTGGGTCCTGGGCCCTGGGCCCTGGGTCTTGGAGAAGGTTAGTGCTCTCAAATACAGGCCTCAAAATAGCTCCATATTATGAACACAGTGTGTGACTTCAGACTCAGGGCTGTTGGTCTCAGACACTTCCATCCTTCTGCTGCCAACCCCCTCGAACAACATTTCACATACATCAGTGCACATACTGTATGTGTTACTCCTCAACGATGAACACTTTCATATACTGTACATCAACACAATACAGAGAGAGGCCGAGAAGACACTGCACCACTACACACATGTATTTGTGTAGTGGTGCAGAAAACAAGCATTTGGCCAATGGGTTGGACTTATACCCTGTTTCCACCAGCCCTACTCGGCCCTGCTCTACTCTGCTCTACTCTACTCTACTCTACTCTACCCTGCTCTACTCTACTCTGCTCTACTCTACTCTACTCTACTCTACTCTACTCTACTCTGCTCTACTCTACTCTACTCTACTCTACTCTGCTATACTCTACTCTACTCTACTCTACTCTACCCTGCTCTACTCTACTCTACTCTGCTCTACTCTACTCTACTCTACTCTACTCTACTCTGCTCTACTCTACTCTACTCTACTCTGCTATACTCTACTCTACTCTACTCTACTCTACTCTACTCTGCTATACTCTACTCTACTCTACTCTACTCTACTCTGCTATACTCTACTCTACTCTACTCTGCTATACTCTACTCTACTCTACTCTGCTATACTCTACTCTACTCTACTCTACTCTACTCTACTCTGCTCTACTCTACTCTACTCTACTCTGCTCTGCTATACTCTGCTCTGCTATACTCTACTCTACTCTACTCTACTCTACTCTACTCTGCTATACTCTACTCTACTCTGCTATACTCTACTCTACTCTACTCTACTCTGCTCTGCTATACTCTGCTCTGCTATACTCTACTCTACTCTACTCTGCTCTACTCTACTCTACTCTACTCTACTCTGTTATACTCTACTCTACTCTACTCTGCTATACTCTACTCTACTCTACTCTACTCTGCTATACTCTACTCTACTCTACTCTACTCTGCTATACTCTACTCTACTCTACTCTGCTATACTCTACTCTACTCTACTCTACTCTGCTCTACTCTACTCTACTCTGCTCTGCTAAACTCTGCTCTGCTATACTCTACTCTACTCTACTCTACTCTGCTATACTCTACTCTACTCTACTCTGCTATACTCTACTCTACTCTACTCTGCTATACTCTACTCTATTCTGCTCTGCTATACTCTGCTCTGCTATACTCTACTCTACTCTACTCTACTCTACTCTACTCTACTCTACTCTGCTCTACTCTACTCTACTCTGCTCTGTTATACTCTACTCTGCTATACTCTACTCTACTCTGCTCTACTCTACTCTACTCTACTCTACTCTACTCTACTCTACTCTACTCTACTCTACTCTACTCTACTCTACTCTACTCTACTCTACTCTACTCTACTCTACTCTGCTCTGCTATACTCTACTCTACGCTAATCTACTATACTCTGCTATACTCTACTCTACTCTACTCTACTCTGCTATACTCTACTCTACTCTACTCTACTCTGCTATACTCTACTCTACTCTACTCTGCTATACTCTACTCTACTCTACTCTGCTATACTCTACTCTAATCTACTCTACTCTAATCTACTCTGCTATACTCTACTCTACTCTACTCTTCTCTACTCTACTCTGCTATACTCTACTCTACTCTACTCTACTCTACTCTACTCTACTCTGCTATACTCTGCTCTGCTCTACTCTACTCTACTCTGCTATACTCTACTCTACTCTACTCTGCTATACTCTACTCTACTCTACTCTACTCTTCTCTACTCTACTCTACTCTACTCTGCTATACTCTACTCTACTCTAATCTACTCTGCTATACTCTACTCTACTCTACTCTACTCTGCTATACTCTACTCTACTCTACTCTACTCTACTCTACTCTACTCTACTCTACTCTACTCTGCTATACTCTACTCTACTCTACTCTACTCTACTCCCTGTGCTGATGTTAAAACACCAGCCTGCTCGGGGACAACAGGCGTAAATTAGCATCTTTGCTATAACCCACAAAACATCTCTCCCTTGTGTTAATGTTTAATTGTGCACTGTCCCTGTTCAGATAAAGTACGTACCATACCATCTTTCAGTTCCAGAACTGTCCTATATGTGCCAAGAGGCCTGTATTTTACTTGCCATATTTGTGCCATTGATAGTCTGTCAAATGCGGCCCACTTCTGGTGGAAATCTGCTTTATAGTACTTCCAAACTGCCCATATTTTTGCCACATTTGCTTTCTGGACAGGGACGTGCGGTGAGGTTTGTGATTGGGGAGGCACTGACTTTAAAAGTCAGATTTACAATCATTATTCAAATAAAATAGCATTTAATCACCAATGCAATGACATCCACAAACTTTATATACTGTAAAGATAAGAGAACCAGCTTCTTTTAATAATCTCACAACAAATCTAGCTGCTGACTCTGCTCCGCATCAGACAACATCTTTAAGAAGCGCAGGTGCGAGAGACGCGAGGAGAGAGAGACGCGAGGAGAGAGGAGCAGAGAGAGACAGAGAGGAGGCAGCAGAGAGAGAGACAGAGAGGAGCAGAGAGAGACAGAGAGAGACGCGAGGAGAGAGAGACGGAGACGCGAGGAGCAGAGAGAGACGGAGACGCGAGGAGCAGAGAGAGACGGAGACGCGAGGAGAGAGAGACGCGAGGAGAGAGGAGCAGAGAGAGACAGAGAGGAGCAGAGAGACGGAGACGCGAGGAGCAGAGAGAGACGCGAGAGGAGAGAGGAGCAGAGAGAGACGGAGAGGAGCAGAGAGAGACGGAGACGCGAGGAGCAGAGAGACGCGAGGAGAGAGGAGCAGAGAGAGACGGAGACGCGAGGAGAGAGAGACGCGAGGAGAGAGGAGCAGAGAGAGACAGAGAGGAGCAGAGAGACGGAGACGCGAGGAGCAGAGAGAGACGGAGACGCGAGGAGAGAGAGACGCGAGGAGAGAGGAGCAGAGAGAGACGGAGACGCGAGGAGAGAGAGACGCGAGGAGAGAGGAGCAGAGAGAGACAGAGAGGAGCAGAGAGAGACGAGACGCGAGGAGCAGAGAGAGACAGAGAGAGAGAGAGAGAGACAGAGAGGAGCAGAGAGAGACAGAGAGGAGCAGCAGAGAGAGACAGAGAGGAGCAGAGAGAGACAGAGAGGAGCAGAGAGAGACAGAGAGGAGCAGAGAGAGACGGAGAGGAGCAGAGAGACGGAGACGCGAGGAGCAAGAGAGAGACGGAGAGGAGAGAGAGAGACGCGAGAGCGAGGAGCAGAGAGAGACAGAGAGGAGCAGAGAGACGGAGACGCGAGGAGGAGAGAGAGGAGACGCGAGGAGAGAGGGACGCGAGGAGAGAGGAGCAGAGAGAGACAGAGAGGAGCAGAGAGACGGAGACAGAGAGGAGCAGAGAGAGACAGAGAGGAGCAGAGAGAGACAGAGAGGAGCAGAGAGCAGAGAGAGACAGAGAGGAGAGAGAGACGGAGACGCGAGGAGCAGAGAGAGACGGAGACGCGAGGAGAGAGAGACGCGAGGAGAGAGGAGCAGAGAGAGACAGAGAGGAGCAGAGAGACGGAGACGCGAGGAGCAGAGAGAGACGGAGACGCGAGGAGAGAGAGAGAGGAGGAGAGACGCGAGGAGAGAGGAGCAGAGAGAGACAGAGAGGAGCAGAGAGAGACGGAGAGAGGAGCAGAGAGAGACAGAGCGAGGAGCAGAGAGACGCGACAGAGAGGAGCAGAGAGAGACAGAGAGGAGCAGAGAGAGACGGAGAGAGGAGCAGAGAGAGACAGAGAGGAGCGAGAGAGAGAGAGAGGAGCAGAGAGAGACAGAGAGGAGCAGAGAGAGACAGAGAGGAGCAGAGAGACGGAGACGCGAGGAGAGAGAGAGACGGAGACGCGAGGAGAGAGAGAGCAGAGAGAGACAGAGAGAGCAGAGAGAGACAGAGAGGAGCAGAGAGAGACAGAGAGGAGCAGAGAGAGAGAGAGAGGAGCAGAGAGAGACGGAGAGCGAGGAGAGAGAGACGAGGAGAGAGAGAGACAGAGAGGAGCAGAGAGAGACAGAGAGAGCAGAGAGAGCGGAGAGAGAGGAGACGGAGAGAGAGAGACGGAGACGCGAGGAGAGAGAGACGCGAGGAGAGAGAGACGCGAGGAACATAAACAATAATTTAAAAAAGTTGCAGAACTCTTGAGCAGTGTTTGAATCAGTGTTTTTCGGAAAAGCACTACTTTGCCGGTATCTGTCAATGTTCAACATAAAACACAGATTAACAAACTCCTCCCCCGCAGCCGGACTAACCTCGTAAGTCCAGTGGTGGTCTCCCAGTCTATATTAATTCTTTCTTTGTTTGAAAGTCCAATTGAGAAAAAAAATCTTCATTCAAATCATCCATTTTCCAGCAAAAGAAATAGCATTTTGGGCTGATTGTTTGTTAGCAACTCTGGTATGAACTTTATGCTCACTATCACCCCTAGCGGTGAGGCACAGATACCGCCTGCCTCACGCCAAGCTTTTTCCTTGTGTGTTCATCTACGATCAAAAGACTTAAACTAAATATAAATTGTACACACATACGTGCAATACACTACTAAACACTAAGAGGAGTTTAAAAAATGTTTTTTAAAGCAGGATATTTGAAACAAACGGTGATATATCAACTGCAGGAGCTGAGTGCACTCAGACACACACACACACACTGTGAGGGAGCGGTCTGAGGTGAGGCACGCAGGAGCGCTGCCTCACCTCGTCTCTTTGAATAGGAATAACGGGATTTCGGCGATTTTGACTTCAGAAATGATCAAAACTGATGGGAACCGTGCCGAATATACATTAAAAGCATAGGACAGTGGATATAAATTATATATTTAAACTAAAATAATTATTAGTTTCCAATAATGGCAGGTGAGGCTCTGCCTCCCCTGCCTCCCCTGACTGCACGTCCCTGATACCGTGCTATACAAAAAACCTAGCTTTGCCTAATCGTCTTAAAGTCCTTTATTGACTTTAAAGAATCACCTTCCTTTGCCCTTTCCCTTCTTTGCCACAAGACCCCATGGAATCTTCAAATCTAAAAAACTTTATTCTAACAAGTCCCAGTTATGAATACATGTGGCGCCCTCCGCAGATGGTTAAATACCAGCGGCTCTCTGTGGAGTTTATTAAACCAGATGCAGCTAATACTCCATGTTCTGGTGTCAAACTGGTTTTAATGCGTTCACATGTATTTACAAAACTAATTCATCACAATCAAAGAGATTTATGACGCAAAATACAAAAAGGGTTCCCCCAGTGAAAAAGCCGTTCTTTAAAATCCCATGTAATTACCATGATTTAGTACATGTTTATCCACAAATATTCTACTTACGGAATCATTTAACGTTAGAAAAAGATGAAATGCTAAAGTAACTAGCCGCGGTATCAGGGTTAGCATAAAACACATCTCGTTTAATGTTAAAAACGTACACAATTCAAATCTTTTATGTCTCAAATTATTTTTACATTTTCACACACTTTTCCATCCCGCTCTTAACACACACACACACACACACACACACACACCCCTCCCCCTTGGTAGCCCCTCCCCTCCTGCCTCCGCTGCCTTCCATACGACGTCTGTTGCTCGTAATGAAAAGCAGTGAACGGGTCTTCAATAACTGACGAATGGGTAATTATCATGGCGGCGTGACAGGAATGCACCCCCCTCTACCTCACCCCTCTCTCTCTCACCCCTCTCTCCCTCACCCCTCTCACCCCTCTCTCCCTCACCCCTCTCTCCCTCACCCCTCTCTCTCTCACCCCTCTCTCCCTCACCCCTGTCACCCCCTCCCCCCCCTCTCACCCCTCTCTCCTCCCCTCCTCCTCACCCCTCCCCTCCTCCCCTCCCTCACCCCCCACCCCTCCCCCTCACCCCCTCTCCCTCCCCTCACCCCTCTCCTCCTCTCCCTCACCCCTCTCTCCCTCACCTCCCTCACCCTCTCTCCTCCCCCCCCTCTCTCTCACCCTCTCTCCCTCCCCCCCTCTCCCTCACCCCCCCTCTCCTCCCTCCCTCTCCTCTCACCCCTCTCTCCCTCACCCTCTCTCCTCACCCCTCTCTCCCTCACCCCTCTCTCCCTCACCCCCTCTCCCTCACCCCTCTCTCCTCACCCCTCTCTCCCTCACCCCTCTCTCCTCACCCCTCTCTCACCCTCTCTCCTCACCCCTCTCCCTCACCCCTCTCTCCCTCACCCCTCTCTCCCTCACCCCTCTCTCTCTCACCCCTCTCTCCCTCACCCCTCTCTCCCTCACCCCTCTCTCCCTCACCCCTCTCTCCTCACCCCTCTCTCTCCCTCACCCCTCTCTCCCTCACCCCTCTCTCCTCACCCCCTCTCTCCCTCCCCTCACCCCTCTCTCCCTCACCCCTCTCTCCTCTCACCCTCTCTCCTCACCCCTCTCTCCCTCACCCCTCTCTCCCTCACCCCTCTCTCTCTCACCCCTCTCTCCCTCACCCCTCTCTCCCTCACCCCTCTCTCCTCACCCCCTCTCCCTCACCCCCTCTCCCTCACCCCTCTCTCTCACCCCTCTCTCCCTCACCCCTCTCCCCTCCCCCCTCTCCCTCACCCCCTCTCCCTCACCCCCTCTCTCTCCTCACCCCTCTCCCTCACCCCTCTCTCCCTCACCCCTCTCCCTCACCCTCTCTCCCTCACCCCTCTCTCCCTCATCCCTCTCCCTCACCCTCTCCCTCACCCCTCTCTCCTCACCCCTCTCTCCTCACCCCTCTCCCTCACCCCTCTCTCCCTCACCCCTCTCTCCCTCACCCCTCTCTCCCTCACCCCTCTCTCCCTCACCCCTCTCTCCTCACCCCTCTCTCCCTCACCCCTCTCTCTCTCACCCCTCTCTCCTCACCCCTCTCCCTCACCCTCTCTCTCTCACCCCTCTCTCCCTCACCCCTCTCCCCTCACCCTCTCTCCCTCACCCCTCTCCCTCACCCCTCTCCCTCACCCCTCTCCCTCACCCCTCTCTCCCTCACCCTCTCCCTCACCCCTCCCTCTCTCACCCCTCTCTCCCTCACCCCTCTCTCCCTCACCCCTCTCTCCCTCACCCCTCTCCCTCACCCTCTCCCTCACCCCTCTCTCCCTCACCCCTCTCCCTCACCCCTCCCTCTCTCACCCCTCTCTCCCTCACCCCTCTCCCATCCCTCTCTACCTGCTCACGCTGTGTTGTTGTGCCAGTCCTTTGTTTTACCGTTTACATCTTGGGAAAGAAGACAGCGGCTGATTTTAAAGCTTTGCCTAAACCTTTGGCCTGGTTAAAGACACATACGATGAAAATCCTGTTCAGAAGCAAAATTCTGCAAGAACAAATGGAAAATAAGACAAAAAGTGCTCAAAATTTGGCAAAATGTGTCTGAATTTCAGCATATTCTGTCTGACTTAACCCTGTAATGTTCACTCCTTGAAGAAAGCAATGTATTTTATTCTTGATGTAGGAGAACTAGTAAATGTAAATAAGTTGTTTTTATGATTTTATTTTAATTTTGATTTTTTTTAACCCCTATTTTTTAATTCTAGGCCTTTACCAAATGGGTAAGATGCAGTTTGATGTAAAAGTGTCTAATGTTAAAGTTATATAAGAGCAACCATCTCCACTTTTTGAGAAAAACGCTCTGGTCTTGTCGGACGAGTGCGTATCACCAGAATGATTGACAGTTGGGAGGACCAGTAGTCTTGTGAGTTACTACGGTCTTCCAAGCTTCAAGAAAACCGTAGTAACTCACTAAAAACGCTTCTCTCTGGTTCTTCTCATGACTGGTCCAGACACATGGTCCTCAAAAGTCTGTACAATTCAATGTGGTGTGCCCCAGGGGTCGATCTTTGGCCCTATGTTAAATTATACTTATATATTGCGTTGATCATAAAGTTTTTGACCAAAACTTTAAATGGAGAATCTCAACAGTCCTTTTTGTGTTACATAAAAGTGTAAACTTGTAACTTGTAATCAAGAAGATTCAGTGACTCAAAAAGTTAGACGGGGATTTACCAACGGAACAAAGCAAAATGGTCTTGTTTGAAACAGAAGTGTCTCCCTTGGAATGAGAAAATAAAGCAACAATTCTTGAATAAATTGTTTTGTCGTTTTGGAGAATCTTGTTTGAACTCAGTCAGAATGTGTCGGATTAAGATAAAAACACTGGATTCTAGCATTACCTCATACTTTATCATTTTTACAGTGGACCTGCTGGAGTGAGAGACAAGTGCCCAAAAAATAACAATTGTAAACCGCTTTGTGACTCTGGTCTGTGAAAGGCGGTATATAAATAAACATTACTTACTTAGTTACTTACTTAGTTACTTACCTGGAGTTGCACCTGTTTCTTATGCAGTATATTCTGCTCCTCTCTCCTTCCCCAAAGCACTCACAGAACACTGCATTCTGAATCTAACAGGTCATTTTTCACTCCATAAATCATCTTCAGACGTTTCTGAGGAAAACTTCATCAGTTTTAAGACGATGCTAACGACAATGATAGTGTTTGTATCCAGTGGCGGCTGGTGGAATTTTCTACTGGGGGGGCTATGAATATGATGACTAGATATATACCAGCAGTAAGTGAGTTTATACTGACTGTTGTGACTGAAGCCTCACACGAGAATGAAATATTTATCTTCCCAAACATAGCTAATTTGAGGGCATTTTGCATGTGGATACCAGTCTGCTCATGCTTCTTTGCCTTTTCTAAAAAGTGCTTCAGATCAGTCATACCTGTCTTGATCCATGCTGGGTCAGATCCTGATGTTTGAAACAAGAGGCATGGAAAGCAAAATAAAGCATTAGCCTCGCTACATGCTGCTAGCCAAGATTTGGCGCTGAACCAGGTCCTGGACTGCTGACTAATGGTAATATTTGGCTGATCAGGTCCAAGCTCTTTAACCTCAACCTTCTCCTGGTATGATCTTCTCTCAAACGGTATTGTTTTGAGTGATCTAACTGAATTATTCTTTTTCTCGTTCTCCATTTTGCGTCTCTTTACGTTCGTCTCAAACTCCCACAGCTTGACCTGTCAATCACTGTAAACGGACGTCACAGACAGTGACAGTACAGGTCGCAGGCGATCCCGCCCCCTCAGGGCGCACTTCTCCTGCGCCCCCAAATCGTCTTATCTCTTGCATTGAAGAGGAGCTACTGCGCATGTACAACTTTTAACGAGAGTCCATAGACGGCTCAGGGCGCAATCTTTTGCGCCCTGAGGCGGAAATACGTCCTCAGTCTGACACAGACAACGCTGATGAGCTTAATCAATCCAACTCAGCATAATCTATAAAGTATTTCTTCCACATCTGAAATAAAACACACATAAATTTCGAAATATTTTAATGTTATTATTTTTTTTAACGTTTTATTCAAGGTAACATGGCAAGTTGTGAGTGGTGGGGCGGCGCCCTAGCGCCCTCTATTGGCCGGCCGCCACTGTTTGTATCACTGCAAAGAAAGATCAGTTTGAAACTAAAACGACAAATACGAGGTTTAAGAAGAAGTGGGGAAATGTCAGTGTTGCATCACCAGATATAATAATAATAATAATGCATTGGTTTAATACAGTGCTTTTCTGGACTCTCAAAGACGCTTCACATAATTATTCTCTCTCTCCAAACACAGTGGTGATAAACTACTGTAGCCACAGCTGCCCTGGGGCACACTGACAGAAGCAACCAGTCTGTGCCATCAGCCCCTCCCACCACCATCAACGATTCACACACACACCAGACTTATTCTAATGTGGGGGAAGTGTCTTGCCTAAGGACACAACCACAGTTTGGCACTTTACAGCCGCAGCCGCCCCACTGTGGCACCTGCTGTTTCCAGAGGTTAAGTGTCTTGCCCAAGGACACAACGACAGCAGACATCAGAGGTTTAAAAACATTAATAAATAATAGTATCTTTAGATCAGAGCAAAGAAGGATGTTTATATTGAACCTTCCGACAGTAAAGTTCCTCTCGTATCAAACTCATCGGCCCCAGAGTCAAACTGGATCTTAACCACCGTGCTTCTAATTAAATGTGAGGATTAGCATACACTTGTTGACTGATGGTGGCGAGGCCTGGTATTTGACCAGAGCTGTGTGCGTTCTCCATAACATTTGAGAAGAGAAGGTCTCCTGGTCACTTCTGACACACAGTACCCGTTGGTGTAACGATTAGCATAGCCTCTCCGCGGAGTTCATTTAATTCAGTGTAGAAGAAGCACCTTTTAATATCGCCGCCAAATGTCGGTCCGGCTGACCTTTCACAGGACCTTTCTGCTCCGAGGTGAGTGTAAATGATCACCTTCATTATGCTAATCTTAGCAATTAACTCTCGGCGCAGAGAACACGTGAGCTCTGATGGCATTCGGCCACTCATCGACTTAAAGACGGATTATTTTAACATTTCAAGCCCATTTCTGGATGAATCGTTCACTTCCACAGCTGCAGTCGTCTCTAGGACTTTACAAAGTTGTCGATTCACCAACAACAGATTATAAGAAAAGATAAGACATCCTTTATACATCCCACAGGGGGAAATGTCAATGTTGCAGCGCACAGAGACACAGGGAGCACACAAAATCCCTTTCATTGTTTTGCAGACGACCTGCAAGTCTATCTGCCATTGAAACCAGGTTCAGACGGCATCCAAGCTCTGTTACATTGTATTCAGGATGTAAAGGACTGGTTGGCCCAGAATTTTCTAAAACTTAATGAATCTAAAACGGAAATTGTCGTTTTTGGAAATTTGTCTGATCCATCTGTTCTTGGCCCACTAAAAGGCTACTGTCACCAGTCAGCCAGGAGCCTTGGTGTGGTCCTAGATGGATCTTTTAAGTTGGACAAGCAAATAGGTTCAGTTGTAAAGTCAAGTTTTTACCAACTGCGTCTTCTGAGTAAAATTAAGCCGTATTTACCACATAGAGATCTGGAGAGTGTGATTCATGCCTTTATAACATGCTGCTTGGATTACTGTAACTCGTTGTATTGTGGGCTAGACCAAAGCTCGATCCATCGCCTGCAGTTGGTACAGAACGCTGCAGCGCGTCTGCTCACGGGAACCAAAAGGTTTGAACATATAACCCCTGTGTTGGCCTCTTTACATTGGCTCCCTGTAAAACACAGAATTCAGTTTAAAATGCTGTTGTTGGTGTTTAAGTGTTTGAATGGGACGGCTCCTGCGTACCTTTCTGAGCTTCTGTCTGTTCATACTCCGAGCTGAACATTGAGGTCAGCTAACGAGTTTCTGTTAGACGTACCGAGGTCACGAATGTCGACCAGAGGAGACCGGGCTTTTGCTGTTGCGAGTCCGACGCTTTGGAATGGTCTCCCCTTAAATATTAGGGCAGCCCAGTCTTTAGGCATTTCTAAGTCTATGTTGAAGACCCATTTGTTTGCGAAGTCCTTTAATCAAAACTGAGCAGGACTTTTTTTTTGCTGGTGTTGATATTTGTTTTTCCGCATCTGTATTTTAATTTTATTATATTCAAATTGTGTATTTTATATACATGTATTTTTGTGTACAGCACTTTGGGCAGCATTGTTGTTTTAAATGTGCTTTATAAATAATCTTGACCTTGACAAAATGTACAATATAAGTATCTGCCATGTTTCTGTAAATGCATCAATATCTCTATCTATGTATACAGTTTATACAGTATATATAGTATATACAGTATATATAGTATATATAGTATATATAGTATATACAGTATACAGTATATACAGTATATACAGTGCATACAGTATATACAGTGCATACAGTATATACAGTGTATACATACAGTGTATACAGTGTATACAGTATATACAGTATATATAGTATATACAGTATACAGTATATACAGTATACAGTATATACAGTATATACAGTGCATACAGTATATACAGTGTATACAGTATATACAGTATACAGTATATACAGTATATACAGTGCATACAGTATATACAGTGTATACAGTATATACAGTATACAGTGTATACAGTGTATACAGTATATACAGTGTATACAGTATATATAGTGTATACAGTATATACAGTATACAGTATATACAGTATATATAGTATATACAGTATATACAGTATACAGTGGCGGCACGGTGGCTGAGTGGATAGCACTCTCGCCTCTCAGCAAGAAGGTCCTGGGATCGAATCCCGGTCGGACCAGGGCCTTTCTGAGTGGAGTTTGCATGTTCTCCCCGTGTCTGCGTAGGTTTCCTCCGGGTACTCCGGTTTCCCCTACCACTAAAAATATGTCCAATAGGCATGTCTGGCATGCGCCTCCTGTACTGGCCCCTCCCATCTCTGTGTGGAGTGAGAAATAAATGCCCATAATTAACAATTGTAAACCGCTTTGAGACTCAGATCTGCAGTGAAAAGGCGGTATATAAATAAAGATTACTTACTTACTTACAGTGCAAAGTAATATACAGTACATATGTATAGGGCAGGATGAGTAGATAAAGACATTCAGTAAACATTCTGATTGCAGCATTGACTATTTACAGATGAATGACATTATGTACAGGCTCAACAGTCCTCATTGTACAGTCTGACAGCAGCATCACATCATAGCGGATGGTTCTGGAGGGTTCTGGAAGGTTCTGGAAGGTTCTGTCCAAAACTGAAAAAGCCAAATGTGCCTCGGTCCAAAGTCGTTGTCACAGATCCAGACATGGACAGAATGTGTAGTTACTGCCAAAGGAAGTGTCACTTGTTAACGAACTCACAAATGCCACAAACGAATCAGCACAAGACTTTTCAGAGATTTCATTTTTAAAACTAAAAACTTGGTTTAGTTTTTAGTTCACTACAGTTTGGCTTCACAACTATGATAGTTCTTAGAGCTGTACTCTACTCTACTCTACTCTACTCTACAAAAACACATCATTTATAAACATTTCTAACTAACAAGAGTCCTCATCTTTAACAGCAGACTTCAGAGGCACAGGAACCTCAGAGTATCCTCACAGAGTATCCACAGAGTATCCACAGAGTATCCTCAGAGTATCCTCAGAGTATCCTCAGAGTATCCTCAGAGTATCCTCACAGAGTATCCTCACAGAGTATCCTCACAGAGTATCCTCACAGAGTATCCTCACAGAGTATCCTCACAGAGTATCCTCACAGAGTATCCTCACAGAGTCACAGGAACCTCACAGAGTAACCTCAGAGTCACAGGAACCTCACAGAGTAACCTCACAGAGTAACCTCACAGAGTAACCTCACAGAGTAACCTCACAGAGTCACAGTAGCCTCACAGAGTCACAGGAGCCTCACAGAGTAACCTCACAGAGTAACCTCACAGAGTCACAGGAACCTCATGGAAACTACCAGAGCAAACTCCGGAAACTCAAAGTGAAAGATGATTATTTAATTAAATATCACAAAGCTTTGCTCTTACGTTTAATCGCGACACTGTACAGAGTTGTTAATAATTACTACACAGTCTAACTCTAAAACCTCTGACACGTCTTCTTCACAAACCCGAGACTCCATCAGTCTCGACACAAACTATTATTTTTTTAACTCAGCAAATCGACGATAATTGCAGCCGAGAGTCAGTTTGAGTTCCTTCTGTTGTTTTGCAAAAGCTCGGTGTGTTTGAAGTGTCAGAGCCAGCGCTGTAATTGCGTCAGATGAGACGAATGCACTCGATTGCTACAATAATCTTGTCAGGATTCATATTTTAACGGTTCTTTCATTCAAAAACAGGCCGTGTGCAGCTAAAGCACCTTCCCAGCGGGGCGCCTTTGTCTCGTCTCTCCAGGAGCGCCCTCGCGGTTACCGTTCAAACCCCATCAAACCCTCGGCACGTCCGCGCTAATGTCTACGTTTATACCTGGCACCCCCGCCGCCAAACCGCGCTCTCGGCTCCCGCGGCTTCTGCTGCCGTCGGTTTTGTGCTTGAGGTGCGTACAGAAACGTGTTAAAGGAGAAGTATCGTCTGTCAGAAACGGCGAAACCGTGCGGTGATCGCAGCGAGGCTGAAGTGCGGTGGCCCGGAAGGTCAAACCGTGTTGGCAGATTACACGGCTCAGAGTCAGAGCCGACAGGTGCCTCGGCCGCTGCTCGTTTGGGATGACTTTTATAACAATGATAATGTTCATAATGTCAGAATGTGCAATAAACTGTTAGCTGCTAATGCTAACGTGGAAACATACACTAAATATTTCTGCTCGAGAATAAAAGTAAGTTTATTTGTATCGCGCCTTTAACAGACCAGGATCACGAAGCACTTCATATGAAAACATACTGATAAAATAATACTCGTACAGGGTTTTACACTTCTTTATTCAGAATCCTTTTATGACCATGTGAGTAACAGGAAGTCACAAACTAGGAAATGTCTTTGGCTCTCGGTGCAAACAAGTTAAATCAGAATAAAAACAAAGGCATTAATAACAATCTACATAAATGTCTTCAGTTTACTATATAAGAGTGACCGTTAAGAGTGCGGTGGAGTGCAGTAAAGTGACGGTCCTGAGGTCAGAGGTCAGAGGTGGGTGATAAAGTGTCCATGAGTCCAACAGCTGAGGGGAAGAAACATTATGCTAAAGTAAGATTGTAAACTTTCTTCTGTATAAGTTAGTATTTGAAGGAAATAATCTACATGATTTGTTGTTTGAATAATTTATGGGAAACGCTGAAGCAAAATAAGCCCTAAACCAGGAAGTACCATCACATTAGTCCTGACTAGAACCAGGAAGTACCATCACATTAGTCCTGACTAGAACCAGGAAGTACCATCACATTAGTCCTGACTAGAACCAGGAAGTACCATCACATTAGTCCTGACTAGAACCAGGAAGTACCATCACATTAGTCCTGACTAGAACCAGGAAGTACCATCACATTAGCCCTGACTAGAACCAGGAAGTACCATCACATTAGTCCTGACTAGAACCAGGAAATACCATCACATTAGCCCTGACTAGAACCAGGAAGTACCATCACATTAGTCCTGACTAGAACCAGGAAGTACCATCACATTAGTCCTGACTAGAACCAGGAAGTACCATCACATTAGTCCTGACTAGAACCAGGAAGTACCATCACATTAGTCCTGACTAGAACCAGGAAGTACCATCACATTAGTCCTGACTAGAACCAGGAAGTACCATCACATTAGTCCTGTTCTCAGGTCTCTGTGGCTCAGAGAATATACTTTAAACAAGTCTCTCCATGGACTCAAAGTACATCTGTGACATGTTTGTGACATGTTAGAGCCATATGAACCAACTCTGAGGAGCACAGGGACTGGCCTCCTGCTGGGACTCAGAGGAGCACAGGGACTGGCCTCCTGCTGGGACTCTGAGGAGCACAGGGACTGGCCTCCTGCTGGGACTCTGAGGAGCACAGGGACTGGCCTCCTGCTGGTCCCAGAGTCAGGACTAAACTTTGGGATGTAGCATTTCAGTTACTTATAGCACTTATGCTAAAACCTGGAACAGTCTTCCTGAAAATATGAGGCTTCTTCCCTGACAGTGTTCAAAACCAGGTTAAAAACAGTTCTCTTTCTGCACCAACTGAATAATTTAATCTTTACTCTTCTTTTTAACGCACTGTGGTTATTTACGATTGTATTTTCCTTGTTTTGTTTGTGTATAAACCGTTCTATACAAATTCCCACGACTTGTAAATTGTAAAAGCGGTCGCTCGATACGTCCAATGAAGAATCAAAACCATCCGTTTCCCTCGCTGGTGTCTGTCTGTTGTTGTACTTTGTGATTCGTTCTCTGGCGTTGACCCGTGGAGCTGCCGTTTCTGCCGACCGTCTCCAGAACAGAGGAAGATCCGACCGTGGCGTGCACACCAACACGGCGTGCGTAGGCTACAGCGCGGCGGCGGCTTGAAGAGCTCTCCTGCTTCTCTGATCCACTTTGAGGAATAAACGTTGTGTTGGGAAGACGCTGGAGGCGTTGTCTGCCTGCCCCTGCTGCACCGCCACGGCACAAGCAAACCCAGACGGGCTCCCGACTACGCGCCGCGGCGGCCGAACGGAAGCGCATCAGAAGGAAAGATGAAACGGGGAAGTAAACATGTGTTGACACGGGGCTTGATCCACTGCTGCAGAGGCCCCGACCCCCCGCCACCCTCCGCTCGCCCTGGTTGGAGGGTTGCTGGTACATACATGGGGATCGGCCGCCCCTGGTTTACATAAGCAGAGGATTAAGGCTCTTTCGGGTTCCTTTGTATCAGAGCAGACTGGTTTCCCGCAAAGTCCGAGTCCCCAGAAGTCCGACTGGGTCTTTGGCATATGGCACAACCGGCAAAGAGAGAGACGGCAGCTTGGGACCACATCCTTCAGAATATACACTGTTTTATTCTGCCTGCTTTATGTTGACGTTACAGATGTTATACTTCTTTATTATACCTAAAGCTAGAGATTATATAGTTCTTTATGATGCTTAAGTTAGAGATGTTATTGTTTTTACTATAGAGCAGCCATTCCCAAACTCAGTAACACCGAGGCCCCCTTAAAAATCTGACGGGTCTGCGTGGCCCCCCCAAAATAATAACCAAGAAGACAACATTAAGAATAGGCTCTTCTGGTTATTTTATTTTGGGGAAATAGCCTCTGCTACAAACATTGTAATACAAAAATGATTACAGTGGATTATTCAAGTCAAATAATGAACACAAATATTTTAATATTACAAACAAAACATTATAAATTTAACATTAAATAATTATATATATATATTTTTTTTTTATGACCTCCCGCGGCCCCCCTGCAGTACCCTCGCGGCCCACCAGGGGGCCGCGGACCCCACTTTGGGAGACACTGCTATAGAGTTATTGTACATTTATCTTGTGCTGCGTACTCCTCATCACCTCTCTTCTGTAACACATTTTCGTCTAAATTCACACTAGAGAAGTGGGAGAAAACATTATTTATATATTTCTTCTTTAATGATGGCCCTATTTCCACCAGCCCTGCTTGGACCTACCCTACCCTACCCTACCCTACTCTGTAAATTTGTAAACTTAACCAGTGTGAGATCAATAAGGTCTATCCTACCTTACTCTACTCTTCTCTACCCTACTCTACCCTACCCTTCCCGATCCTACTCCCCCTGATTGGGAATAGTTCCACTGGTCCTGTGTAACCAGAACCAGGTCTTCTATCCAGGCCGAGCTAGTACTAAGAGTGCTGCTTGAAATTTTCCAATGGATTTTCAATGGGTAGAGTAGAGGTAGGGTAGAGTAGAGGTAGAGTAGAGGTAGAGTAGAGGTAGAGTAGAGGTAGAGTAGAGGTAGAGTAGAGGTAGAGTAGAGGTAGAGTAGAGGTTGAGTAGAGGTTGAGTAGAGGTTGAGTAGAGGTTGAGTAGAGGTTGAGTAGAGGTAGAGTAGAGGTAGAGTAGAGGTAGAGTAGAGGTAGAGTAGAGGTAGAGTAGAGGTAGAGTAGAGGTAGAGTAGAGGTAGAGTAGAGGTAGAGTAAGAGTAGAGTAGAGTAAGAGTAGAGTAAGAGTAGAGTAAGAGTAGAGCCTTTTGCTAATGTATTCCAATGTGGTTTTACTGCAAATGGCAAATACATGAAGCTGAACTGGGAACGTCCTGTCATTCCTGTTTAAACTGCTTCCTCAAGGACCAGGCCTTGGATCAAAAGGAAGAGATTGAGCCGATGGAATAATGTTTTAAAATGTTAAACGTGTCGCCGTGAAATGCACATTATCACACGGCGTGGAGAGACTCTGGTCCCTGGAGTACCGTCCCCTGAGTACCGTCTCTGGAGTACCGTCTCTGGAGTACCGTCCTTCTCCGACCGCCACACTCCTCTCTCCTCTCCGTACGTTCGTGGCGACACCTCCCGACAGCCCGGGCTCTGGCAGCTCGCGTGGACCACTTCAGCTCGAGCCCTTTGCGTTTTGTGTTTTGTGGACTCTCTTTAAGTCCAGTGTGTGCCGAGGGATTGGCCTTTTCCCCCGTTTACATAAAGCAGCATTCAGCGGCGTCATTACCAGGATTAGGACGCTTTTACTCCCTTTGTCGGGGCGGCCTGGTGTCCCCGGCAGCCCACTCTCTCTCTCTCTCTCTCTCTCTCTCTCTCTCTCTCTCTCTCTCTCTCTCTCTCTCTCTCTCTCCAAACTTGGGCTTGGCCGGCATATGGCACAGTCAGTCTCGGCGGAGGGACTCAGGGCTCAGGACGAGGCCCCCTTTTGTTTCGGGACGTTATTGTTGCCGCGCGAGTAATGATATTAGTAGGCCGTAGGATCGGAGCAGTGGCTAAGTCTGCCATACCCCTGGGAAGGCTAGACGACGTGTGTGTGTGTGTGTGTGTGTGTGTGTGTGTGTGTGTGTGTGTGTGTGTGTGTGTGTGTGTGTGTGTGTGTGTGTGTGCGTGTGTGGTTGTGGTTGGGGGGGCCAGGCAAAAAGACATGTAGACAGACAGGAGTGTGGATTATGGAAATATGAATTGATTTTTCTTTCTGCTGGTGGAATATAAAGCTCAAAGGAGAACAGACTGCGAGCTGGCTGGTTGGCACGACAAGCTGATACTGCATGGGGGAGATCGGCGAATGGGGAGACACTCGCTTCCTCCTCCTCCCTTCCCCATCCTTTCATTCGCATCCATCCTCTCCCGCAACCCCAGAGACTCTTAAGCCCTAGCTGTCCACATATGCCACTTGGAAAGACAGACAGAGGGAGAAAGATGTGGCAAAAGCATATATTTGAATCCTCGTTTCATTATTTCACTTTATTTTCTCGGTTGCAAACGAAGCCGGCAGATGGAAATGTGTCCGCTCGCCTCTCAGATCTCATCCCAAAAAGTTGTGGTTTTTGAAAAAATAGCTGTAAAGTAAAAGAGAAGCAAAACACACTGGGAACGCCGCTAGTTAATTCAAGCTAACCACAGTGCGGTTTGTGGCTGTCTCTCTCTCTCTGCAGCGAACAGACGTCCATATGATGAACGCTGTGAAATCCACGTCTACAAAACGGCTTCTGAGCAACTGGGACTTCACCGAGTTAAATACTGACTCATGCATGGGCGAGAGCGTGTGGGCAAACACAGCTCGGCTACATTTTATTTGGAAGAAATCGCAAAAGAAAAAAGTATGAATGTGGAGAAGGGCTTGGGTTCGGTGCAGGTGGAGCTTCAACTGTGTGTGTTTTCATAGTTTCAATAAAATACAAATCATGGAGAGAGCAGCGACCAATTCAATGTATTCTTTTATAGCATCACAACAGTCGTTATCTCAGAGTAGCTCCCCACCCCCTCCCAGGTAGCTCGCCAAAGCACTGAGAAATTAACAACTCAAATCGAATACTTCTTTGCTTTCAGACTGTATTTTTCATAATCATTATTTATTATTGTTAATTCACTTAATGTTTGCACTGGGAACACATATGCAATGATAAATGATTACTGTACCCAACACCAGACTTTATATAAAACCCCATTTTTCCTAGTGCCGCTTAACGGAGTAGCTCTCTGCCTTTGTCATCCCGGGAAAGTAGCTCTCTGGGTGAAATGTTGGAGAGCCCTGACATAGAGGGATTGGTCCATAAGCAGCAGAGACCAGTGTCCATACAAGTTGATAAAGTGTCCAGTTCAGCGACTAACGAGAGCGAGGGGGTCACGTTAAACCGGAGCTTTTCTTCATAAATGATTGTTTTAGAGTTGTTATATTGATCCACTCGCTCATATGTGTGTCCAGCATCTAGGATCATCCATCTTGTTTCATAATGTATGGATTTTTATATATTTATACAAAAAAGCAGCCAAAAACATTCTCTGTTCCAGGTCTATAGTCTGAGCTTTCTGTAAAACAGTAACACGCTCAGAGTTTGCAGATTATAAAACCATCCACAGCTTTAATGGATAAAAATAAATATTAAAAACTAATAATAACACATTGGTTTTATACAGAGCTTTTCAGACGCTCAAAGTCTCTTCACGTGATAAACTACTACTGTAGCCGCAGCTGCCCTGGGGCACACTGACAGAAGCCCCTCCCACCACCACCAACCATTCACACACACACACCAGACTCATTCTAATGTGGGGGAAGTGTCTTGCCTAAGGACACAACCACAGTTTGGCACTTTCTCTGATCTCTCTCTCTGGTCTCTCTGGTCTCCTTCTGGTCTCTCGCTCTGCCCGCTCTCTGGTCTCTCTCTGGTCTCTCTGGTCTCCTTCTGGTCTCTCGCTCTGCCCGCTCTCTGGTCTCCCTCCGGTCTCTCTCCGGTCTCCCTCCGGTCTCCCGCCGGTCTCTCTCCGGTCTCCCTCCGGTCTCTCTCCGGTCTCTCTCCGGTCTCTCTCTGGTCTCCCTCCGGTCTCTCTCTGGTCTCCCTCCGGTCTCCTTCTGGTCTCCCTCTGGTCTCCCTCTGGTCTCCCTCTGGTCTCCCTCCGGTCTCTCTCTGGTCTCCTTCTGGTCTCTCGCTCTGCCCGCTCTCTGGTCTCTCTCTGGTCTCTCTCTGGTCTCTCTCCGGTCTCCCTCCGGTCTCTCTCCGGTCTCCCTCCGGTCTCTCTCTGGTCTCCCTCCGGTCTCTCTCTGGTCTCCCTCCGGTCTCCTTCTGGTCTCCCTCTGGTCTCCCTCTGGTCTCCCCCCGGTCTCTCTCTGGTCTCCCTGCGGTCTCTCTGGTCTCTCTCTCTTTGCCCTCTTTCGGGTCTCCCTCCGGTCTCTCTCCGGTCTCCCTCTGGTCTCCCTCCGGCCTCTCTCCGGTCTCTCTCCGGTCTCTCTCTGGTCTCCCTCCGGTCTCCATCTGGTCTCCCTCCGGTCTCTCTCTGGTCTCCCTCTGGTCTCTCTGGTCTCTCTCTCTTTTCCCTCTTTCTGGTCTCCCTCCGGTCTCTCTGGTCTCTCTCTGGTCTCCCTCCGGTCTCTCTCCGGTCTCTCTGGTCTCTCTCTGGTCTCCCTCCGGTCTCTCTCCGGTCTCTCTGGTCTCTCTCTGGTCTCCCTCCGGTCTCTCTCTGGTCTCTCTCTCTTTGCCCTCTTTCTGGTCTCCCTCCGGTCTCTCTCCGGTCTCCCTACGGTCTCTCTCCGGTCTCTCTCTCTTTCGCTGCATCACATCCACAGAGGGTTAAAGGAAGCAGTGAATTATGAAAATGTTTTAAGGCTCTTCTCTTCTGTACAAACCGCAGCAGAATCTCGCTCTCAGAATCTCGCTCAGTTTCAGGCGAGACCCT